TTACTCAAAATGCATCAGAGTTTCTTTTGAAAATCAAAAACCTAAGGTTTTCTTTATAAAGTTTTAAATTTTTTTAAGGTTTTCTTTATAAAGTTTTAAAGTTTCAAATAAACTTATTTTTACTTTTATAAATATGTTTTTCTTTGTAAGTAAGCAAACGAATATTTCAATTTTCAATTTTTATTTATTTTTGTACATATTAATTGATTTATTTAAAATTGAAATAAAATTGATCAGAATTCTTTTTCAAATGTGTTTTTATCAAATTTATATCTAATAAAGTTAATATTTGCAGAACTTAAATTATTTTTTTAATCAGGTTTGCTAATGGTGGCATGGCTAGTGGTTGTTTCTTAAGTGAGGCTTTAGCAACAGCCTTGCAGGTAAATTAGTTTTTTTACCTGTATCATAGCTCCCACGCAAAACCACACTAATCTATATTTAAAAATTTTGACATACCTTGATATTTTCATTGGCGGATATTTGTTTGTACTTGTATTATAAACTTTCTCTCCACATACAGTAATAACACACTTTCATACAAGTAGCAAGTATTCTCTTTAATTCTTACATTCCAACAAGCAGTTTGTATGTTGCTGTTGCAGCCACTTTGAAATCATGCAATACCTAGTCGTTGCCATAAACAAACACTTCATCAACATGCATCTTGAATATCTCATGATATCCTCTATCCTGGTGTATTGTTATTTATCTGACTTGCTGCGTCTTTTGATATTTTCCAAATAGGATGTATCATAAAACGACATTTCTTGAAAATGTCTGATGATGCCTTCTAAATATGTTCTATGCAATAAATTATTACTAAATTTAAAAAATTTTTAGGGGTTGCTCAAAACCCTTAAACATCAGACAGGTCCTTAATATTTTGAAAAAAAAAGTTTTATAAATGCATATCATGTTGAGTCTCAAAAAAAGTGCAATTTTATAACTATTAAAAGTAATAATCAATTTATATAAAGATTACTAGTTTAAATTTTATAGCTTAAAAGCTATTGATTTTTAACAAAAAATAAAAAATTACATATTTTCATAGTTTTTCTAAATTTTTTGAATTTGTGTTTCCATAAATTTTTTTTATTATTTTTGAAATTTTTAGTTTCACTTCTTTTGAGACCCAACATGATATGCTTTTAAAGATCTTTTTTTTTTTAATATTAGGGATCCGTCGATGTTTAAGGGTCTTGAGCAACCCCTAAAAATTTTTATTATTTGAAAATTTTTTAAATTTAGTATTAATTGATTACATATAACACATTTAGGGAGTATCATTAGACATTTTCAAAAAATGTTGCTTTATGACACACCCTAGTGGTCACACTGTAAAAAAAAAAAGAATTTGTACTGGAAATATAAACAGCACATCTTTAATCTAGCTTCCGCCACCAGCAATTATTTAATGCAGCTAATGCTAAACCATGCTCAAAAGGATATTGTTTTTGCTCTGCCCTCCACAACCATTGCTGAATAAATCTGCATGTGACACTTGCTTAGAACTGTCAAAATTAACAACCTTACTAAGAAAGTGGTTCACTGCACTTTCTATTTTGCACAAAAAAAATCAAATACAATGTGTCAACTTTTTAATAATACAATTTATATATATTTACAACAATAACAACAACAAAAAGTGACATTAAATAATATTTTTTTCTCTGAAACTGGATCTTCAGAACAATCCTGCTCAAAAATTTGATATATATATGAAATTATTGGAATCATTATTGTTTACAGTTATTAATGATTTTACAGAATCAAAAAAAAAAGAGTAATAAAAAAAAACTGCTAGTTATAAGAAAATAATTGAAACAATAGAAAGAAACAAAAAAATAATTATATAGTTCAACATTGATATGTAATTTTAATGGAAACAAAAGTAACAGTTTAATGTTTTAATAATATTAAGTGTAAAATCATATATTGGTTGTGATAATCCAAAAATAAACATTATAATACTAAAGGTACAGTGTTTCAAACATTCAATGAGTTCAAGTAGAAACTGGTTAGAAATCTAGGTGTTTTTTTTTTTGAACAACTCTTTGATGAGGCATTATTTCCTCACCACTCCTGTAGCTATGAAAAAAATAGAAATGAATAATGAAATAATAAATGATCATTTATCATTGTTAAAATAAACTTAAATAGATAAATCCTGTTCAAATTGAACATATACAGTTATTAGCTTCTTTATTGATTTTTTTTAGTTAAGATGTTATCTTTGAAAAAATACAAAATCTTTCTCAATCTTTGTGCAACTTAACAATGAGAATATTTATATGTTATTTATAAAATCATCAACTGAAATTGCAAATTGAAGTTAAAATCATTTTTTATAGCTTTTTTTTTTTTTTAAAACTTAAATATGGCATAAGTTAATAAATATCTTCCTAATTGTGCATACAAATTGTAATAAATTTATTGCAAACAAAGTTTAAAACATACAATAAGTAATACAAATATACCAACAACCTCTTATTGTAGAGGAGAGTGCGACACCATAAAATATTGTAATTGTGGAGACATCTTGAGAGTTGTGACTTTCACTTTCATATGGTGAAACGATTACTACTAGAGCTATGTTTTTACAAAAAAATTATATAATTTTTTATTATAATTTTTTATTATAATTATTGAGGGGTCGAATTTTGTGATTTTTTGATGATAAAGTAATAGTTTTTAAAGTTGCAAAGTTTTAAGGTACGTTATTTAATGTGTATATCGGTAAGTAACTTTATTTTTTCAACTACAATCTATAAGCTTTTTACTTCATTAAACAAAACTATTGAAAAAATAAGTTGATAATAAAATTAAGCAAATGTTTTCTAGCAAGTGACTTAATGTCACTTGCTAGAAAACCATGATACACCAAAAGTGTATCATGGTGGCTTCACTCTCCCCTACTTTTCAGATAAACCTATTCCAGTTAAAAAACGAAGATTTAAACAATGGTTTATGAAAAAATTTATTTCTAACAAAAGGGTTAAAATAATTGAAGAGAGAAAGAAAAAAAAAAAACAAGAAGCATATAGAGTTGTGGTCTAAAAAAAAAAAGAAGCAGAGAGAGTTTTGGTTTAAAAAAAAGAAGCATATATAGTTGTGGTTTAAAAAAAAAATAAGCAGAGTAAGTTGTGGTTATTGAAAAAAAAGAAGCATATAGAGTTGTGGTTTTAAAAAAAGAAGCAAAAACAGTTGTGGTTTCAAAAAAAAAGAAGCAGAGAGAGTTGTGGTTTTAAAAAAAGAAGCAAAAAGAGGTGTGGTCTAAAAAAAAAAGAAAAGAGAATTGTGGTTTTAGCTTTGTTAAGTTGCTTTATATTTTTCAATTTAAAAAATTATATAAAAATTAGTTATGCTAATAAATTTATTTTTATAGGTACTTGAAAATATGGCAGCATTACGAAATAGGTATTTCTTTTTTGTTTAAGCATGTATTTTGATCTTTTTTGGGTATTTTTTGTTTACCCAAATAAGGTAATTTTGTTTATATTTAAACAGGTATTTCCTTTATACTTATTTAAATAAAAAAATGGCAGAAACCTGGCATTAAAAAAAAAAAAGATTTATATTTAATACTGAAAACTAATTTTGGTCTGAACGATTTAAACTAAATTTGATTAGTTTAACCAACTTAGCAGAGTTAGTTAAACTAACTGCTTCTCAACTTAGCAACATTAATTAAACTAACTGCTTCTCAACTTAGCAGCATTAATTAAACTAACTGCTTCTCAACTTAGCAACATTAATTAAACTAACTGCTTCTCAACTTAGCAACATTAATTAAACTAACTGCTTCTCAACTTAGCAGCATTAATTAAACTAACTGCTTCTCAACTTAGCAACATTAATTAAACTAACTGCTTCTCAACTTAGCAACATTAATTAAACTAACTGCTTCTCAACTTAGCAACATTAATTAAACTAACTGCTTCTCAACTTAGCAACATTAATTAAACTAACTGCTTCTCAACTTAGCAACATTAATTAAACTAACTGCTTCTCAACTTAGCAACATTAATTAAACTAACTGCTTCTCAACTTAGCAACATTAATTAAACTAACTGCTTCTCAACTTAGCAACATTAATTAAACTAACTTCTTCTCGACTTAGCAACATTAATTAAACTAACTGCTTCTCAACTTAGCAACATTAATTAAACTAACTGCTTCTCAACTTAGCAACATTAATTAAACTAACTGCTTCTCAACTTAGCAACATTAATTAAACTAACTGCTTCTCAACTTAGCAACATTAATTAAACTAACTGCTTCTCAACTTAGCAACATTAATTAAACTAACTTCTTCTCGACTTAGCAACATTAATTAAACTAACTGCTTCTCAACTTAGCAACATTAATTAAACTAACTGCTTCTCAACTTAGCAACATTAATTAAACTAACTGCTTCTCAACTTAGCAACATTAATTAAACTAACTGCTTCTCAACTTAGCAACATTAATTAAACTAACTGCTTCTCAACTTAGCAACATTAATTAAACTAACTGCTTCTCAACTTAGCAACATTAATTAAACTAACTTCTTCTCGACTTAGCAACATTAATTAAACTAACTGCTTCTCAACTTAGCAACATTAATTAAACTAACTGCTTCTCAACTTAGCAACATTAATTAAACTAACTGCTTCTCAACTTAGCAACATTAATTAAACTAACTGCTTCTCAACTTAGCAACATTAATTAAACTAACTGCTTCTCAACTTAGCAACATTAATTAAACTAACTGCTTCTCAACTTAGCAACATTAATTAAACTAACTGCTTCTCAACTTAGCAACATTAATTAAACTAACTGCTTCTCAACTTAGCAGCATTAATTAAACTAACTGCTTCTCAACTTAGCAGCATTAATTAAACTAACTGCTTCTCAACTTAGCAACATTAATTAAACTAACTGCTTCTCAACTTAGCAGCATTAATTAAACTAACTGCTTCTCAACTTAGCAGCATTAATTAAACTAACTGCTTCTCAACTTAGCAACATTAATTAAACTAACTGCTTCTCAACTTAGCAGCATTAATTAAACTAACTGCTTCTCAACTTAGCAACATTAATTAAACTAACTGCTTCTCAACTTAGCAACATTAATTAAACTAACTGCTTCTCAACTTAGCAACATTAATTAAACTAACTGCTTCTCAACTTAGCAACATTAATTAAACTAACTGCTTCTCAACTTAGCAACATTAATTAAACTAACTGCTTCTCAACTTAGCAACATTAATTAAACTTTTTTTTACTCTTTAATCTGATTTTTTTTTTAGTTTTAGCTTTTTTAAAAGAAATATAAAGATGTTAATTATTTTCAATTTATAAATTTAAAATTTTTTTAATAAATCATAACTAAGTATTTTTAAATTGTTTTAAATTTGTAGCCAGCATGTTGTGAAGCATGTTGTAATCATTACCAACACTCCTCCTTATCTCAATCCTGTTGTACGGAATTGCCCCTATGCAGGATTTTCCTTCGATGAACTGCTTGGAGTTTTTGTTAGCGTAAGTATTATAAAAATATAAATAATGGTTAGATGTTAACTATAAATGATTTCAATATATATATTTTTTTAATAGAAATCAATATGCATATCTGCATTTTGTGCAAGACACATTCTCCCTTATAAAGAAATTTTTCGAAAGGTATTATTAAAACATATAGAATATAGAATGAGTTTATCTATTAAAATTACAGTTTCATTTCATGTGTATATATATATATATATATATATATATATATATATATATATATATATATATATATATATATATATATGCCATAGAGTCTTATCTAGTGCGCAGATCCCTGTTTTATTAGTAGAGTTTTTTTATTTTGATTTTCGATAATTTTTAGAAGAAGAAACAAAAATGCAATTACATAAAATCTTTAAATTAATTTTATTAATTTAAAGATTTTATGTAAATTTGTCTACAAATTTTCAAATACAAGCAACTTTTTTAAATTTTGGCATTTTTTTGTAAGTTTTCACATTTTGGCATTTTATTAAAAAACTTTGGCATATAAATTTTGCTGAATGGTCACACACGAGCAGTGAACGCCTGAGGAAAGAAATGAAGTACATTAGAATAAAGGAGAATTATTTATTAGACAAAGCATATTTTGACAGTTGTCAAGACAAAAATAAAGATTAATAGAGGAATATTTAAGGAATTAATAGAGGAATATTTAAATAGAGGAATATTTAAAAATAATTAAGACAGGCTATACACCCACAACAATAATAACAACAAAATTAAATGTGTAAAGATAATTTGTGTAGTGATTAAGTAATAAACATCTCCTCAGAGTCGCGTCTATTATTACTGGCGTTTCGATGAGGATCAGCATTTATAACTAGTTTATCCCGTCAAACAAACGCCAATTATGTTTTACCCCGCGACTTCTTTTCTTCTTTTTATTTTATGCCTATTCCATACTGCAGTCAAAAAAGACTCACTACAAATAGCCAAAACCCAACCAACCCCAAATTTGTAAAGCATTAATTTTTAAATTTTGGCATTTTTTTGTAAGTTTTCAAAAACGCCAGATGTAGCATAAAAACATTTGACAAATTTTTTAATGATTATTAAAAAAAAACTATTCATATTTACAAATTGTTTTATGTTTGTTTTTCTTGGTGGTTTTGCTTTTTTCTCTATAGTTCCTTTTGTAATTGTGCAGGTTTAACAGCAAAGGTTTTCTCTTCCTTTCTTGCAATATCAATGTTGTCTTTTATAAGTTGAACAGTTCTTTCATCACTCAATAAAAAATTAAGTCCTTTTAGAGGTTTTCGATAGCACTCTATCATAAGTCATAATAATATATTATTATAAGTAGTATTAATAGTTTAGATTTTTTATAGTATTTTATTAATTCTAAATTTCTGAATTCAATTATCTTTTTTTCTTGTATCTCTCTTTGTTTTGCAATAAAAATAGTTTTTGTCTAGTATCTCTTTTTGTTTTGGTTTATCTGTTTTACTGAAATTGCTTTGACTTTGCACTTTTTCTATATGTATCTTTTTAATGAAACCTTTTTTTTCATAAAACTGTTTTACTAGCATATGGTCTTTTCTGCTTTGGATATTGTTTAAGATAATTATGTAATTTTCTCAAATTTGTAAACTATCTGCAGACATGTTTTATAATATTTCTGGTTACTATTTTGGGCCAAAACTGTCAAATCATCATTTGTGTGGGACCAAGCTATGGACCGGACAGGACCAATGGTGATCAGGACAAGAAATTAGCTCCTCATGTGTCATGTGGTACTTGCAAATCAGCTTTGGAGATTTGGCTAAGGGCAATTTGAAAATGCATGCCATTTGAAATTGTTTGCATGTGGAGAGAGCCAAGGAAGCACACTGTAGTGTGATTCATTGACTTTTATCAATTCTTACTGATAAAGATAGAATAATGATGATAATGATGAATTTGAAGAATAGTGTCCATCACTTTTCAATCAGCCAGATTTTTCTAAACAAATAAAAATGGATGATTTGGTACTTTAACCAGGTTTATTAAAGTATGGAACTGAAGTATTGACATTAAGGCTGAAACAATTAAACTTATTGGATTCAACATGCAAGATTTCAAAGTTCAGAAAAAGACATCAGTATTTTTCTCAGTTTTATAAAGTATCGAATTACTTGTGTTTCTGCTAGAATGTTGATGGTATTTTTAGAGAAATTCTTGCATTTACCTAGAGCATGGCGATTGTTTAGTGACAGTTTCATTCGTAGCCTCAAAGGTGTTCTTTTACATAATGGGAATCATATCCTTCTATTTTTATTGGAGATATTAAAGTCATGGATAGGATGAAGCTATGATGCGCAGTTATTTTTGGGGTTTGGGTTGCAGTGACTTAAGTCATCATAAGAGGAAGTCTTTCATTTTTTAGAAAATTAATGATACCATTAATTTTCTAAAAAGTGAATAGTCGCAAAATAGAATGCAAGTCTAATATTCTGGGTCACAAATATTGTGACCATTGGGACTAACCTTGGAGGCTTTAACCCATTGAAATATCAATAATTAAGGACCTCCATGTTGGCTCTCATTTCGGTTAGTGGATATTCATTCATGCTATGAAATTCATAGCTGTATAGTTTTAATTTCTCATCTTTCTTCACATTTTTCATCAGCTAGAGCTAGCACAATAAGGGCCCAAAAACCATGTGTCATTATTTATTAAAAATTTAAACATTTACTGATATAAAACAAATCCCTTTTTTTGCAACCAAGCTACAATTTCAGATGTTTAACTATGGAAGCATGCTACCTATGACTTATTCCTTCTTCATCAGCTGTATCAGCATTTCTCTTGAGAATATCTTTTGGAAGTAGAACAGTATCAGTTTTTTGGAGTTTCTTCTTCAACTCTCAGGATATTGTAAATCATCATCTTCTTATTCTTTCTCTGAACCATTTGGCCTGAACTCACTCTCTGACACAGTTTCATATAAATCTCATTTCAAACCAAAATAAACTTTTGTTAACAAAGGAAAGATACTTTGTGTCTAAACCACCTATTCTAGACTTTTTCTATCCTGATTAGTCTATCAAAAATACAAAAGTTTAAAAATTAAGCTACATTTTAAATTTTTATTTTAACTTAACATGAATTATTTCCTGTCTTTGCTTAAATATTTTTTTCAAAGTTACAGCGGTGTGCAGAAATCAGAAAAAATTGAATATTTTAAACTTTGTAGACAGATTCACATAAAAAATTTTAATAAAATTACCATGCAATTTTTATTTGTTTTTTCTATATATATAATATATATATATATATATATATATATATATATATATATATATATATATATATATATATATATATATATATATATATATATATATATATATATATATATATATATATATATATATATGTATATATATATATATATATATATATATATATATATATATATATATATATATATATATATATATATATATATATATATATATATATGTATATATGTATATATGTATATATATATATATATATATATATATATATATATATATATATATATATATATATATATATATATATATATATATATATATATATATATATATATAAACAATTTCAAAAATGTATTATACAAAACAGAGTGCTCAATGTTCTTAAAAGAACAGAGCAATTATAAATTAGTAGAAAATCACTTAACAAAAATTTTTTTTCATTTTACACTGTGTTCATCAACAAAGACTCATCGGAAATGAATTTCTGATGAGTCTTTGTTGATAAAACACAGTGTAAAATAAAAAAAAACTTATACATATATATATATATATAAAACTTATATATATATATATATATATATATATATATATATATATATATATATATATATATATATATATATATATATATATATATATATATATATATATATATATATATATATATATATATATATATATATATATATATATAAATATATATATATATATATATAAATATATATATATATTTATATTTATATATATATATATATATATACATATATATACATCTTTCCTTAGGCAAGTCAAAGGCTAAACATAGGCTTTATGAATAGGTTTGATAATGTGATATAAGTTATAATATATACTTACATATAAATGTTTACAAAGAATTTATTTTTTTGTAAAAAATAGAAAAGGAGGAAAAAAAATCACACAATCTGTTAATTATATAAAGCTCATGAAACTTTTATAAAATATTATTTTTCTAAACAACTATTTTTCGCAAAATAAAACTCAAATATAAACGAAGACATTAGAAGAATTGTATTGCTTCAGAGTAAATTCAATCAAAAAAAAATAAATAATAGATTTATATTAATAAAAGAAGTTTTTTTTAATTATAAAAAAATAAACTCTTTATAAGATGTTGTTTAAAGTTTGTAATTTTTGCTTTTTCATTTTTTTTTTTTTATTAATTCAATCGTTATAACAAAACAAACAAAAAAAATATCTAAAGTGACGCTAATATAAAATAAAATTTAACGTGAACTATTTTTTAACTAATAATTTTTTGTTTTGTTTATTTATATATATATATATATATATATATATATATATATATATATATATATATATATATATATATATATATATATATATATATATATATATATATATATATATATATATATACACCCACACACACAGTGTGCGGCCAAATTATTAGTTACATTTGCAAAAATTATAATATTAACCATTATAAGCTCTTTTACGTATTCTTATGTTAAATTTTTATATAAATACTAGTGCTACTAACTTAAATAAATATTTTTCTTTAAAAAGTAAAACACTTATTTAAACACTATTACTAATTTTAAGTATTTATTTAAGAAAAATTATAATACAAAATGTTTTTTTAGGCCGCCTTTTGCATCTTTACATTTGCTTTTAATTCTTGATCATTATGCCAGGCATTATTTAGTGCCTCTATGATTTTTTTTTGTTGGTTATAGTTTCGTGCCCATTTATCCACTTTAAAAGTTCCCAGATGTTCTCTATTGGCTTTAAGTTGGGAGAATTGCCAGGCCATAATAAAACAGTAACATTTTTTGACTTTCTATCTTACAAATATCCTTTGACTGATTTAGCTTTATGGCATGGGGCAGAATCATGCATAAAAA